GATTGCTTTTGGATTAAGGAACAGTAGCTCTTTGTATGAAGAGGGCAAAGATGGAAGGGAAGTGCCGATTTCTTTTGTAAAGCTCTCAATTTGAAAAACACACGTATTTGTGCTGCCATAGGAATAGGCTTTGGTATGTATGTTTCCGTTATGCTTGATGGGCTAAACTAAAAAAAGCCCAGCGTACCCTAAACGCTCCTTGCCACTTGATCTTCCTGCTCACTTCGGTACAACAGTTTGGACTCCTTTTCTTCTGCTGCCCAGCAGCACAGACGTAACAGACATTTAAAGGTTGTTCACGTAAGTTGATGGCAGTCAAACTGTTTTCTCTGTAGACACTCGTCTCTGTTGTGCAGAACATCTGCGCGCACCTAAAGAATAAAGTGCAAGTGCTCAGCAGTATTACTGAATTCATTCTCCTTCCAGAACTTAAGGCTTGGTCATTAAAATGTTTTAATAGATGCTTTATCTAGTGTTGCTGCAGCACTTCACTATTAACACCTGGTGAGTTGGTGAAGGAAAACAGACATATTAATTTTAATCTCTGGAATTCTAAGCATTTGCGATTCACTGTTTTATTACATTTAAGCATAATATTTATGGGATACCATGAAAAGTGATATTGAATTGTTTGGAAATAAGCATGATTTTTTGTGTGTGTGCACTTAGGAAAGTTTAAGGGTTAGGAGGAACAATGGTATCAACTCGGTGTTTGTAGTTATTCTCATGAAAGAAGTCTTCAGGAAACTTCAGAGATGATACTGAAAACGTGCAACTTAACTGTGTTTTTCTAGGTTTCTTATGAATGGCATTCCTACCTGTATTAATGCTGTGATCATAGCATAAACAGGCTAAGAACTTCCTCTTTTCAAGTTAACTGTATGGGTCTTATTCATTACAAATAATCTTTACAGAGGCAGTGTTTGCTTTGTTGTAATGCTCACCACGTTACAGTGCTGGTGCTTCTCTCCAAACAACGAGCAAATCCCACATAGCAACATTACACCATCCCCTCTGATAGCAAAAGACCACCAGCAGGAACAAAAATACTTTCTTAAAGTTCTTTTTGTTTTATGTACAGTAACAATTATCATAAATGTCAGTGGCTTTAGATAAATCCCAATTGGTGAATCAATTGGATGAACTTTGAGGGAATACATTTAAAATTTTAATCTGTGAACTTGTGCTAATTAAAGTTAATTTATATTTTACTTCTTGTATAAGGGCTGATCTTGGCTCTTTGTTGGTCTTCCATGGCAAGTTTTGTAGCGTGGACTTAAGCAGCACATTCTAAATCATATATTTAACAACTGTTATTCATTCTATGATTCAAATTTATAAAGAACTCTGGAGGTTACCTGGTCTCTCTGTAGAGAATCTTTAAGTCTTCTTTTAAGATCTTTGAGCGGAGATATTGTGCTTGGGTGTTCGTAAATTTATTTATGGACATACGTAAAGTTTTGCACCATGAAAATGAGCTGAAAGAAGGAATCAAGTAGCCCCTTTAGACTGGGGCAAGGTGTCTTCAGGGCTCTTGTGTAGTCAAAGATACAACAGAAGATATGGGAAAAGATGCTAAAGGTTTGCAGGCAAATGCTCTTTGGTCTTAAGCCCTAAGCTGCAGAAGGGAGCTTGTCAGTGCATGTTTGGTGGGCACCGTGATTTTCTGCCTCAGAAAACAGATAGTTCTTGATGATTTTGAACAGTCTAATTTTGAATGACTGTTTTCTTTGCTGTTACTGTTCTGCTGCAGCAGAGTAACCCTGCAAATCCTTGAAATGCCAAGTGCCACTCCAGTATTAAGTCTATTCACACAGAATCAGAGTCCTGATTTAGATCACCGAAAGTAAGCAACAACGGGGGTACAGTGTTCTTAAGTCATTTATTTGAGGGGAAGGAAAAAACTTTTGTATCAAAAAATATATAATCCCCAAAATACGACCCAGAAAGCTGCTTTTGAGGAGACAGCCATGGCCTTGTGCACTCCTTATTTTCCATAGCATCTTCTTTACTTGAGAACTTTTATTACAGCTCCGAGCTGATGTCTGTGGATCTGTCGTGACAGTTCTTAGCCCCTCAGTCTCCAGGTGTGGATAGCACCAAACTGAAACGTGTGAATATCCACGGGGCAAATAAGGTCTGCAGCATTTGTCAGTTGGAGAACAACTTAGTTACCTAAGAGCTGACATTGCACCTTGTCACGGAGCACTTTGTTAATACAACTACTGCTAGGAAATCCCTCCCCTCAAGAGCAGTGCACAGATCTTTGTTTAGACAGGCTGTTATTTATGCTAGATATGTTTTGAAAAACGAGACTGAATGTGCAGTAATATAAACTATCTGAAAAGGGCAGTAGTTTCCAAGAAATACAGGGTAATAAATTAATGGCTTGAAGTGGTTTTTGAGTTGTACTTTTAAACTCTCTGGGCATTTATTGGAGACTGCTGCAAGTTTAGCAGGAGTTGTGAAGCTGCTCAGTGTCGGGTGTTCATAGAATTATTACATAATTGAACTCAGTGCTTTATTGGCAGGGCTTTAGGAGCAGAAAAACTGACGTGCAAGAGTGACTTGCCTTCTCTAATTAATAGAGTGCCAAAGATGTGCTCCCTCGCTGAGAATAGTTGCTCATGTTATTCGGGCTGTATTTCCAGTACCGCATCCGTTGTTACCACTTGTATAAAAGGAGACCTCCTTTTTCCCTATTTTGGTAGAATTAATCCAGCAGTAAGGCTGGTATCCTTGGCACAACTCTTATGATAGTGCCCTACTTGGAGGAGCTGAGTGTACAGTTCAGAAAAAGATCCTTTGGTATCTCTTTATGAATTTCCTTCATTTTATCAACTTTCAATCACTTAAAAGAATGAAGTGAACAAAGAGCAACTATGCTTAAATGTAGCTGGGGAGGCAGAACAAGAACTGACGTTTTCAGCAACAGTTGAACCCTGCACTGCTGTTAGGCTGAATTCCCCAAAGGCTGGTGCTAGCAATGGATGTGTTTGTTTACCATGGACACCTTTCCCTAGGGGATGGAGAAACTCCATTGTGGCTTGGCCAAGGTAGCACTTGTTGAAATGTCGCTTTCATTTGCTGCTAGGCTGGGTTGAAGTGAGCTCTGGGACCTCACTATAAGATGTTACTATTACCATGAAGACTTCCTTTTAATGTACTCGCTGTTCAAGGAGTGGGTTTGGGTTCTGGCGAGGTGTCATCTACAGAAGTGATAAACTTAACTGTTGTTTGTTCATCACTACCACGCACCATTTCCTAGGCAACTCTTGCTTTTAAATACTTCCCAATTTTTCAGTAGTGTTAAATTGCCTTGGACCTTTAAATGACGCTTCTTCAAAAGCTGGCAAGCCGTGATTGACCAGGCACGGGTTAGGCTGGGATTGCATGTGCAGACCTGGACTGCACAGCTTCAGCTTCCCAAACTGGTGTCCAGGTCTCCTGGGGGAAGTAGAGCTTCCCACAGCAACAAACCTGGGGCTAAGCGATCAGCGGAGGGTTGTGGGAAGGCAGCACGTTGCTTCCCAAACATCGATGTGCTTTCCATTCTGAATATTGTTTTATATCTCATTTCTATAAATATTAATGCTGATTAGCAGCCAGATTATTAAGACCGGATGCTGTGTGCTGTGGTGTTCTCCACTATTGAATTTTATAGGATGGACTTTATACAATTGATGGTTGTGGTTTACTGGATTTTTTAATCGTTATAAAAGTGAATATGAAGCATTTACTTTTTAATAAGCAGGTCTGATCCTTCAAGAGGCAAGTGCAGTGCGGAAACCAGGAGCACACTTCTCTGCGTGGATTGATTGCATTCCTTGCATACAACTTCCTCTTGAGTTTATTTGGTTTCCCTTGGTTTATTCCTTTCTAATTGCTGCGCTCGCTTTGCTGGGACTGTTTTTTACACCTGAATATGTTTCCTGCTTGTTCATCCTCCCCACATGTTCCTGGCTTCTCTCCTCGTGGGATCTTGTTACTGTCACCGTGCTTCTGTTTTCTTCTTTCTCTCACTGCTGCTCCCGGTTGCTGCAGTCCTGATCCAAACAGTCTGTCCTTCCTCCTGCTTGGATTCCTCCTGTTTTGAAGACTGAGAAAAGCTAGAACATGTGAACTCTTAGCACATGGGGTAGCTAGTCTCAATGTAAGGTTAAAAAAGTAATTAAAGAAATAGGTGTCTTGTCTGCCCAGCCTACTGTTTTTCCCTGGTACTACTGAGACAGTTGCCTCATATAGCACTTCACAAGGAATGTGGGGCTAATTTTGTGTTCTGTCTGTGCACAGAAATAGCTGCTGTTTAGTGACACTAGCAGAGGAACTGGGAAAGCTGAGCTGCTTCCTTTTTCCCTTGCCTGCCTCCCGGAATACTTTCCAGAAACTCAGTCTGACTACAGGAGAAGGATGACTGTAGTCTCCTTGTCAGCTTCATTTAAGATTAAATTTTTTCTTGGAATACATTTTCTTATTTGCTAATTATCCAAATGTCCTGGATTTATTGTCTGGTCGGGGGGGCTTTTTTTTTTTTTCTTAACGTAATGGGGTGAGAGGATGATTAGATTGGTCTATCTTGGAATAAACTATTCTGTATTTTCCAGCAGCTACTGAACAGGGGATTAATGTGCAGAGTTCTGTGAAGATCAGGGTTTATACTCTCTACAGCCCCACAGGAACTAGAAGCAGTTATCACTTGTCTCTAGGATCTGTTATGTTAAGGAAAAGGATTTGCCATTTAAATAGGCAATTAGTTAGCAATTAGTCATGTAAACATAGTGGTTATCACCTACAGGAGATATATAAAGGTGTGTAATCCCTTCAATAGAAATTGAAATATCAGTTTCTACTTTGTAAAACACAAGCAGCCTCAGGGTTGGTGAGGATTTGACATGCTTGTTATAGGCATAACCTTCTTTTCCAAAGCTACTAAATCCTTTAAAGTGTCTAGGAGAGATAAAAAACGCTTGACTCGAACGTCTTTTTATTCACAGAAAAATGATGAAAATGGGAATTGCTCTGGCGAAGGTATCGAGTTCCCAACAACCAACTTATATGAACTGGAGAGCAGAGTTTTAACAGATCATTGGTCCATACCGTATAAGCGGGAAGAGTCTCTAGGCAAGTGCCTGATTGCATCCACGTATCTCGCAAGACTCGGTAAGTTCAGCTCATGCAAAAAGGATCTGCTCAAAAGATTGGATGGGCAGCTTAGTGGGCTGCTGTGGCTTTCACATCCATTTTGCAGCTGTTTACACAGTACCCTGAGAAATGGTTGTATCTCTGTAAGTGGCTAACGGTGAACTACACCTAACACTGAGAAAAATGTCAATCTCTTTTTTCTAAAATATTGTTTATTTAGCTTTTTATAAGAAGTGGAGCATGTGTTTCTTTATGTTCTTACGATTGTAGGAGTTACTGTTTTTCAGAGATGAATTGGAGCTTTTTTTTTTTGATTGTGCTGGTTATTTTCCATTAGTAAAAACAAGCTGTCATCTACATTCATGCTCCACCAAGCTTGTGTAACTGGTTGTTTTTTCCCTGGCGAAATGCTTATACTGCATTAAACTTGCATTTGATTTTTCTGTGTTCAGTGCTTTGGCTGGGGTTAAGTGCATTACGGAGGCATCGTGCCCAACTCATGGGATAACGATTGCAAGGTAGTTTTTCCATCATGTCTGATGGCAGACTAAAAGGAGACTATAGTCTGTTTGAACAATGGAAGTTGTTAGGTTAAAACAAAAAAGCAAACCAAACCCACCAGCTATGTGTTGTGTTGTCAGGGATGTACGTAGGTTTGGTTTTTGGGGGTGTGAAGCACGAGAAATGATGGGAAGTTGGTAAAAGTAATAAACTTTGAAGGGATAAACATTTATAGTGCTAGTCATGCTTGAAACAGTTGTAAAAGTTAGAAATAAGAAGTTTCTGAATATTCTAAAAGGCCAATTTTTTTCACTGACACACTTTTGAGCCTGAAAAAGTGTAATGCTGGTTATATGTGGACAACAGGGCTTTTGCTGGTGGTGTTGCTTGGTGTTTCTAAGAACTTAAAAACAAGCTCCTTGAAGTAATCCTAAAACACACACTGTCTTTTCTTTTTGTAAAGGTCTTGCTGATTCTGATGAGAATTGCAAGCGATTTATGGACAGATGCATGCCTGAAGCATTTAAAAAGGTAAGCAGGTAAAACGGTTTGCGTTTGACTTGTCTGTGGTGGAAGTAGTGTATTATGTTCTGGACTGATAAATGCTTCAGAAACTGTGGCAACCACAGAGTGTATACTAAGATTTAATAAAATGTAATTAAAAAAAAATCATCTAACTCTTAAGTCCCAGTTCTGTTACTGCTGCCTGCAGGTCAATTGTTTTATTGTTATCTTCTCTATAGCAGTTTTTGGAGCCTAAAGGCGAGTGTAAAGAATCCGGATACAGCCATTAATAGCAGGTTTCTTTTGACTGTTTGTTTGTTCCTTCCTTGGAGGGTAGCTAAATTCTGTCCTCCTTTCATCGCCTGTTTATATTTTACCCTTGCCCTCAGTACTTAATGCCTTACATGCTTCTGTAGTTCTTGTCTGGGTTATTTTGAAATTTCTCTGTGAAGATCTCCAAACCAATTTGCTTCCCACTATTCTGTCTGTTTTGGCTTCTCCCTAAGTTTTTTTCCCACTTATTAGACAGTATGTGTGAACATTATATATACATTTTTCAAAAAGAACCCAAAATAAAAGCCGGGGGGAGGAGGAGAAGGAGAAATCTCTTACCCTATTTGGCTATTAGCCTAATGATGTTGCTTGTAAGGCTTTCAAATCCCTTGGTATTTTCTGCACATTAAATAGGGTAGATTGACTCCTCTAGAAGGAGAGTGTGTAGAAACCTGCCTTTAGAATTTGCTGACTTAAGTATTTGCAAGCCAGTTATTGAGCCTAATATCATATTATTTTTGAAACGGTACAAACAGTAGTTGTATTTGACATTCTGTGCTTTTTTAACTGTAAAGACTTGCTAATGCTCTCATACAACCAGCAATCATTATGCCTGTAGGTAGAAACTAAATGTTCTCTTTAAATTTGTCCAATGTAATTGTTTAAAGAACACATTTCAGGAGCTGTGAAAGTGTGATTAAAGACTTCTCTTCATAGTGAAGAAAAAACTCTGTTTTTTGTTTGCCAACAACAAAAAAACCTGCTCAAAGTTCACTTGGTGCAGCTTTGTGGTGCACCGATTTGAAGATTCAACAGCTGTGCGCTCGTTCTGCAAACAAAATAGTTGCATATAGGTTGAGCCTTGCAAAATTTACAATTTTAATAGCCAGTGAAAATGGAAAATGGTTTGTTTTGTTGCTTTATTTTATTAATCATAAATTGTTATTTAAGATGTTCTACAATGAATTAACAAGCTAAATTAACTCTTAAACCATGAGGGTAGAGAAGGCATCTAAAGTAACACACCAGCCAATGATTATTACACTCTAAGTTCTCTAAGGATATATTTGCTCTGAAAACAGTGAGTCTTTGGGATTGATCTTTTTCTTTTTCTCTTGTTTTATGTGATTGTGCTCAAGGTTCAATAATTACTTTTTTATTTTTAATTTTTTGGTAGCTGTTGACATCCAGTGCCGTGCACAAATGGGGAACGGAAATCCATGAAGGCATCTACAACATGCTCATGCTGCTGGTAGACCTGGTCGCAGAAAGAGTAAAACAAGATCCTATTCCTGTGGGCTTGCTTGGTGTGCTTACAATGGTATTCGTCTCTCTCATGAAGTTTCTAATAATGACAGGGTTTTGAACTCAGAGATCTGGTTAAGTACTATGGAAAATAGGAGTATACTAATTTGAGTGAACATCCTCAAAATATAAAAGTCTGTAGTAGTATTTGGCATGAATTATATTCCGTGTCTAAAGCCCCTCAAAAGGCTTTAGACCTTGAGAATTGAGAGGCAGAAGAATGGGTCAGCTGTTACACTGTTTAATTTTTGCTAGAGCTTTAGCTGCCAACCAGAGGAATGTTCGAGTGGGGAAAAAAATTAAAAATCAAATATCATAAGTTTTGAGACTGTGGCTTAAGCCATGCTTGTCCTTACCATGGGCTTTTTTTTAAAGGCGTTTAACCCTGACAATGAATATCACTTCAAGAATCGAATGAAGGTATGCCAGAGAAATTGGGCAGAGGTCTTCGGGGAGGGCAATATGCATGCTGTCTCACCCATATCCACTTTTCAGAAGGTGAGTGTGACCATATCCTAAAGCCTATTTTTAGGGCAGAATTGTGATTCAGAAAATATTTTGGGGGTTAGTAAACATTTATGACTCAGGAAAGTTTAAATGAGTGAGCAGCTCTTGAGTGTATTGAAAAATAATTTTCTTTGTTCTCTGAAACTTTTGTCTCAGTTCTCTGTTGGAGAACAGATTTATAAATGGGTATATTTTCTGTCAGCCAGGTAGATCTGTTGTATCTGAGGGCTACATCTGTTTTGCTGTTGAGTTTGAAATGACCAAGAGCGTTCCAAGTGTATCAGTATTCACTGGCTGTACTGACGTTAATAGCTCTGGAGAATTCCTGCTTTTCTGACGCACAAGGGTAGGATAGAATATCTTCAACTTAAACACAGTGCAAGGAGCTGGTTTTGAGGTTTGCTTTGCCTTGTCACATTTGTAGCAGATAAATGGATTTAAAAAAGGAGCTTCACTGCTGTTTGTCTCTCCTTCAAGAAACAAGTTGTGGCTGTAGAAACAAGATTTCATGTCTGCTGCTTTGGGGCAGGCTTTCTAGTAGCGTTCCGCGCTGCTCGTGTGCTATAAATACAGTTGCTTGTGAGTCAGCAGCCAGCGAATCCAGTTGCACAGCACGTGGGCAGCGATGTCGAGCAGAGTCCAAAAAAGGATGATGCTAACAAGAACCTCCCAGAGCTCCAGCTGCAGGCTCTGTGAAGGAGTTGTTATAAACACGTTGCTCCATTTTCTTTGAAGTAGTAGTGCATGCATTTAGGGTGTGGGTTAACGAGCTGAGTGTGTCTGTCCAAATCTCCTTTTCAGAAAACAAAAGCTTAGTGCTGATACTGCAGTTACTAATTTGCTAATGTTTTAATTGTTCAGGAACCTCATGGGTGGCTGGTGGATCTGGTGAACAGGGTAGGTAAATGTATACCTAGCAGAATTGTCGTTTGAATTTATTACTCCCGAGAGATAATAATTTCCCTTTTTCCACCTCCTCTTGTTTTTCCCTCTCTTAGAGAATGACAACCACAAAAAGTAGTTTGTTTTTGTTCCTGCTCCCTGCATAGAAGGAAAGGGCCTTGTAGGAAATCCATTTTGGGGGTTACTGCTTTCCCCATTGATCATTTTTGTACTAATGAGATAGCTAGCACCAAAGAAAAGTCCAGAGGTTAATTTAGGCTGCAGTGATGTCCCCCAGTAAGCTCTGCTGGGCTACTCAGCTGTCACTTTAAATGGATCCAGCTTTCTTCCCCATACTCATTTTTACCAGAGATGGAGTTTCTAGCTTGATGTTCAAACTAGTACCCACGTGTGATGCATTCCCTGGTGGGCCCTAGAATTCTCAGGCAAGTGGAAAGCTCATGTTGAACGTCATGTTCTACAGTAAAGGATACTTGCTAGCAGGCCAGGCATTCTTAATGGAATATTTAATATAAAAGTGCATTTAAATGATGAAATACTGTAGCTCACTGATGTAATGTTGCTGCTTTCATTTCAGTTTGCAGAATTGGGTGGATTTTCAGCAATTCAGTCAAAACTCAATTCAGAAGATATTGAACTTGGGGTATGTTCATTTTCTGTGCATATCTTTGTGAAGAATCAGTAGTGTCTCTCTTGACAGCGCTCTTAACTTTTAGTTTGGTGCCAGAGAAATACCCAGACGGAAGCTGGAGAAGTGCTGTCACATCGGCAGTGAGATGAGGTTGTGGCTAAGCAGATTTTGAGACTTTACAGAAAAGAAGAGGGGTTACTGTATCTTTCTGGGTGACTTTCAGCCTTTCAGTAAGGTGTAAATCAGAGCAGTGTTTCTGTATATTCACAGATATATTCTCATTTTTTTGTTTACTGTAGTTGCGTTTAGCTGTAAGCAAAAGCAAGGTAATTTCTAGTCCTTCGAAAAAAGTGTGACATTATTTACAAAAAAGCATTCTTAGGAAGCCAAACTGTCTAATCGTAAGCAACTTTTCAAGAACTGACCTAACTTAGGCTTTTGGTTGCAGTGATGCACACTCAATTTTATAATCCTTTACGTTTTGTGAGGAGGAAGCAAGTTTTGCTGTATTGATGCATGAATGTCTTCAAACTCTTAATATCCTGAAAATAGATACCACTTGAAAATTGTTTATTGAAGAAACCCTGACACTTAATTTGACATATTAACAAACACTTCCTTGTTCCTAATACTTCAGGAAGGAAATTCACCATATAACTTTTCACCTATATCTTGTATTCACATTTGTCAGTGCTGTGGAGAACAACTCAAACGTGATGTGTCCATTTGACTATTTATATCTGTGGCTGAAACATCATTAGACTGAGATTTAAAAGTGTGATAAAAGGCGTGAGACTAGTGAAAGCTGAGAAGGCACTTTTCATTTTGAGCAAAAATATATGGTACATAGTGTGTGCCATAGAGTAAATCTTCTTTTTTCTGGACCATGCCCTGTTGATTCTGCCGTGCAACTTGTTGACAATTTGTTACAGGAGACTGAAGGTGGTAATGTCAGATGCATAATATTTATTCACCTGCATTTGCCTTCTAAGGTGTAGATCACTAGTTCTGGAAAGACCTCTTACCTACCCCTGAAAAACTGCTCTTTCTTTCAGGCAATCTCTGCATTAGTTCAGCCGTTTGGAGTTTGTGCAGAATATCTCAACTCTTCTGTAGTACAGGTAAATTGCCTTCATTATGAATGCTTTTCAGCAAATAGGAAAGCCTTGAGATGTGGTATAGTAGTTTGTTGAGATTTAAACAGGGCTTTGTCTTCTCAGACAGCACAATATTAAAAAGGCAACTATATAGAACCAGTTCTTTTTGTCCTAGGAATTTGAAAACTCAAAGGAGTGAAAATTGATTTAACACTGTGGAGGTGTGAAAGTGGTGACTAATCTTGAAAGCCTTCAGAACACATGTTGCATAAAGCATGCAACTCATTTAGAGCATGCCTGTTTTGGATGAATGTCCAGCTTGTGTTTTGGGGTTGGATTCAAAGCTTGCTGCCTGCGAGGCAGAGCACACAACTTCTCATAGGATACAGTTAACAGCCAGGAGGCTCAATTTCTGAAACAGAGCAAAGCCATGTGAAATACTGCATGGAGGAAAGAAGCTGTCACTTACTGATTTAGGAACCAAATTTAGGAGGAGATTGGAAGTATCATGGGTGCCCCAACCAGATGTTAAGTCACCACTAAACAAATGGATTGATTGTCTGTTTAAAATTTTAAGAAGGTAGAAAGTTTCACTGGAATTTCGTGGCATATTCTGAGCGTGATGGTTAGAGGGCTTGCGCAAGGTTCAGGTTCATTTTCTAAGGACAAATATCTTTATTCTCTTATTTATAACTGCAAGAGAGAAAAGTTATGCCACTGCCATTAGTAATCTTTACCAGTGTAAAATATGTGAGAAAATCTAGCTTGGTGGAAGAATTTTGTTTATAAATTTCAAGCTTACGTCTAGCACATGGTTCTGAGAGTTTTCACCAGAAAAATCTGGTACAGGAAACAAAATATGTGCGTAGATATGCTCATTCCTGCATGTCTACACTTGCCTACAAGAACTACCAGTTTAGTAACTACCAATCTAGTAAAGTCTTTATTTGAAGAGGAAATCGGGAATAAGCCACTGAAAGCCAAAGGGCTACATGTCTAATAATTAATGCCTTTTGAAAGATCATTTAGTCTGTATTATAGTGGTCCAAAGTTGGCTTCTCACTGTAATTGCGTTTTTATTCTGGACATACTTGGCAAGGTAGCTCCTATATTTGCATGTGTTGCTTTATGCCCAAGATAACTGTGTGCTTTAAGCTAAGTATTTCATTCTACTGCAGACAGATCATCTGAGTAATGTAATTGATTTCAGGAAGCATAAAATGTTTGTTTTGTCTTTTTTTTTTCTGTATTCTTTAGCCCATGTTGGATCCAGTCATTCACAAAATGATTAAATATGTACAGAATGTAGAAGAGAAGGATCTGAAAGATAAGGTAATGCTGTATGTTTCGTATACTTAGGAAGAACTCTGTGTCTTGAAATGCTGGCAGTACTGGCTGTAAAATATCTTCCTTTTCGCTGATATGAATACAGCCTGTTCTGAATGATCACTGAATGACATAGCACAAAATATTGAAGAGTAACCACCCTGCATTTACTGGATATCCTACTAAATTCTCTTCAGTGGATATCTGATGTTATATGATCTTTCTAAAATACTTTCCCACAGTAATGATCAAATACCTTTTTGTAGGTCCACTTCTCTAGTTGACTTGAAGATGCTTGATATGTGGCAGTTCTAAGAATTTGTGTGCATTGTGTTGATTCTAGTAAGTTTAAAACTGCTTTTGGACAAATAACTGCTGCATTAATTGGTTGGTGGTTGTTGGTACAATTTCTGTGTAACTTGTCACTACGTCCTGCATTATATCCAATTTAGCGTTCAGTTCTAATACATTTTCTAGTTTTGACTCTTTAGGCTTGGAAATACGTACTGTAAAGTATGCCATGGCTGTGCATCTGCAGAGGAGCAATTTAGTGTACTGAATTTATGCCAAGAGAATCCATCCACCTTAACCAGAGATTTTATTACCTTCTGACTTCTAAGTGTGCCTTGCAATTTCTAAGTATAGAATTATAATTTGAGATGCCCATAGTATTGCATTTTAAAACTTAAGCAGTCAGTATTGGTCACTAAACCTGCTCTCTTTCTGTGAATCACTGAAGCCTGCAACATAACAGCAAAAATAGTAATGCCTCTGTCCTGTTTTTTGTGGTTATTTTTTCCTGGTTTAAACAGAGACTAGTGAGTATCCCTGAGCTCTTGTCTGGTATCAAGCTGCTGTGTATGCGCTTCCAACCCGATCTGGTAACCGCAGTAGATGACTTGCGACTGGACATTCTGCTGCGCATGTTAAAATCTCCTCACTTCAGTGCAAAAATGAATTCCCTCAAAGAAGTAAGTTTGCTTTTTGTGTGAGTGTCGGCGTGTGTGTCTATCTGAAATGGGCTGTTAGGAAATCATCAAAACCATAACTTCAAAAACAAAGGTGTACAGTGTTTCCTAACAAATTATATTGTCTTAGCGAGCACAGAGCTCCTAATAAATACCATAAGAAGTGAAGATGACAGTTGTTTGTAGTATTAGTAGCCAGTGCAAGGACTTTGGTCTCCCAATTTAAAAAAAAAAAAACGAATATAATGTGAAATTTATTTTAAAACCGCATTTTCAAATTCATTTGTAAGCAGTAGCCGGTACTATTCATGAGAATTCACTTCAATATCACTATCCTCTGGGCATCCTATGGGATGTCTCTTTTTTCCTTTTCTCAAATTGAAATGAAAATAAATGAAAAATGAATTTAAAAATATTAATGAGATTTAATGCTGGATTGGTGTTCTCAGTCATATTGCATCAGATTATCACATCACACTATGTAATCGCTTTTCTTTGTGATTATGTAGACACTGCAGTAGCACGTAGAAGCCTTAGATTATGGACCTGGCCTCTTCGAGCTACTAGGCTTTTCAGAGCAGAAGAAAACATTTTCTCTTTCATGGGAGTACAAGTTGTTTGCTTGGTTGCTTGCATTTATCTCTTCTTTCTGGAACTTGTACAACTTAATAATGCACCAAAAAAGAAGTTTTTTTTTTTTTGAGTCTTTTGGTGATTTTTTTCTTCTCTATTTAAGGAAAAATTGAGATGTTAAACCTCACTGCTCTTTTGTTCTTATTCATAAATGTTGGGCATCCTTGGTGAAGTTATAAAAGTGCAGCTTTTAAAAGCTTTAGCAGAAATGTGCTTTCTTCATCTTTTTCCCTAGAGAGAGGAGCATGTATCAGTTCCATATTGGGTAAAAATAGGGCACTAATTTGAGTGTCACAGTCAGAAGGCTCACATAACCCACTTCTGGAATATCTAAAGAAATTTGCAGCACAGGCCCTGTTTTCTGTATCAGAATGGTATTAATAATCTGCTGCATGATAATGCCATGATGCCAAGAAGGTGTTTCTGGTTAGGAATTTTACCTCTGAACAACTTATTCTTTCAAAAAAAGAAAAAGCAGAACAAAAAAATCCTTCTGTGCTCAAAAGGACTTACATTGAAGCTTCATAGTGAGAATTAAATAGACTTCTTGAATGCAGTTCAATGTTTGTGTGTATAAGGTATGTAGGGAGTATTATAAAAAAATGCATTTTGGAATTCCTAGGTAACCAAATTAATAGAAGACAGCACTGTATCAAAGTCTGTGAAGAATGCAATAGATACAGACAGATTACTGAACTGGCTAGTAGAAAATTCTGTCTTGTCGATTGCTCTGGAAGGTAAGCAGATCCATATAGACTTTTGACATGTGCTTTGGCTATCTTAAACTGAAAGTTAGTCTATGCTTTTATAGTTATATTTAATGTATATGTAATTTTAATATATTTATATAATATGTAAAATTTTAATGAGACACTGTTAACAAAGGAGTTCAAAGGTTTTTCATCATCAAAATAGAGTAAGAAAAACTCTGCAAATATTGCTACTAACATGCAGACATGCAAATATCTTATGCTCTCTATGTCATTTTTTAATCTCTCTGTTTTGTTAGCCCCTAGAAAAAAGAGAACAGTTCCTTTTCCAAGCATTAAAACCAAACAGGTGTAAAGTACTGTCAGATGAATGAACTATTCTAAACTGGAAATGAAGAGGCTTGCTCTTTCTTTCTTTAGACTGAGGGATTTATCTGTAACAATAGATGAAGAACATTCAGATGAAGATAGCTCTGTTCTTGTCCCTTCAAGAATAGCTGGTTTATTGTTATGTGTTCAGTGTTTTTTAATACTCTTAAAATATTAATCCAGCCTTTCCTTATTTCATAGGTAATATAGACCAAGCACAATACTGTGATCGTATAAAGGGAATTATTGAACTGCTGGGCAGTAAATTATCTTTAGATGAGCTCACTAAAATTTGGAGAATACAGGTAAGCCACAAAGACTAGGCAGATGTTTTAGGCTGCATAACAAAATTGCACATTTTGTACTACCAAGTTCCTTAACATCCAGCATGTGTGTTCAGGGGAACATACCAAGTTGTATCCACAGCAAGTTGATTGTAATCTCTTATACTGAAAGCTTCCTTGTTATTAAAAAATCATTTTAATTGCTGAATTGTCATATAAATATCTGTTGTGTATTGCTAATGTCCTAATAAAGAAGATATTCTTTTTATTCTTAGTGGAGGTTTCCCTCTGCTGACACTGAGGAAATAGTGTAGCGTTCCAAATTCTTGTTTTATTTTATAGACATCTCTCCATTGCAGGGTAGATGTGTTGAGATTTATTTGCAGTATGTTAATGCAAAGTCTTTATTTCTTTTTTTTATTGTTTAAAATTAACTGTTCTAACAATCTGGTGTAACACAGCTTAGGCCTTATGGTTTCTTGTGGAAATCTTATGGATGAAATTAAATTCGTAACAACAAGAGTAAGGGAGCTGAAAAAGTATTTGACTTGGAATAAGAGATAGTCAGCCTGAAATAGGTGATAGAGTGATTGTCTAGACTAACAACCGTGTTCTACAGATATTAATTATCCTGGCTGGAGGTATAAATCTGAATGCAGCTCACACTGAGTTTAAAGAGAGTGGGCTCAAACTGCATGGATATCTGCTCAGCTTCCTGTAAATATGTATTACTGACTAGTCATTTTTTCACATTCACCATATGTACATTCTGCTTAGCACTTTTGTAGAAAGGGGATTTGGATGCTTAATACAAATGTCATTTTGAGGAGAAATTTAATCTTGCAGTGCAGGAAACGTTTGCTTCCCTGTAAAAAGTGGGGGAGGAGTTTGTGTTTTTCTCTCTATAAAAAAAAAAAAAAAAAAAAAAAAAAAAAAGAGAGAGAGAAAAAAGAAAGAAAAAGTCAGAGATGGAGCACTCCATATGTGAACTTAGTTAAGTAATGAAAATCATGTCTATACTGCCTAGACACTGGCCTGGAACAGGAATGGGAATACTTAAAGGAGAGTTGAGCCTTATACTGTGTAGTTTTGCTTCCTATACATTTGTCTCCTATCCAACTCCACAAATAGCCTTTTACTGCCTTGAGGTCTTCTCAAAACAAAGTGTTGAGGTAGGAGTCAATCCTAAATGGATGTTACTCTGTGAGTAATGTCTTTAAGAAATTGAATTAACCTGTTTTTACAACGTACAGCTTAGAAAAGTAAAGAAGTTCCCTCTTAGAGAACCAGCATTGGTTCACAGTCCTCTGTCTCTTCCAGGTATTTAGTGTCCGAAAAGAAACTTAACTTGATGGGGAGATGCTGCCTTGGAGAGTCCTTGTGTTAGGAACATGTTAAAGAACTTACACATGCTGTACCAGACAGTATTTAAGCAGAACAGCTTGTGTGTTCAGTGACCTGTGGGCACAGTTACAGTGCTATGCACCATTGCAGGGTTTTTGAAGCTGCTCTAAGAGGGATGCAGCTGGTTTCTGTCTCCCCTCTTCTCATAGTCCTAGGAAATGAAAGTTGCAAGTAGGAATAGCCCAAAAAGTCAGGTCTAAGATTTTCCAAACTTCCCATCAAGGAAGCCCAAGTAAATACTTTGCTCAAATTAGAGTATACAAAATTGCTTTCAATAATTGCAGGCAGGACTCAATGGCAAAGGCATTTTTAATCCTAATACATTAGACAGTGAACTGAAGGATGGAATTATCACTCAAATATAACAACATATTCAAGCAACAGCCACAAAGAACCATAAAAATCCCAAAAGATCCCTGAAGTGAAAAAAAAAATCACAAAGCAGGTCACTATAAAGCAATCCAGCAGAAACTGAAGAAAGTCTAACATGAAATTCCCCTGAGAAAAATCAGGATGCAAAGTAGTTACTTGGACTTCCCTGAAAAATGAAATTTTTGCTATTTCATGATCATTTGGGAGGGAAACTTCCAGGATTACTGAAAGAAGCATGGAGCTCAAGGGATGAAAGTAGAGCAGGGAGTGAAAGAAGGTTATTGAGGCATAGAGTAAGAAAACATCATTGTTATCAGAATGGGTTCTTTTTTCTTTCTTTTTCTTTTTTTTTTTTTTCATCTTTTTCCTTGCTTTGACTAGTTGTGGCGCAGAGTACGTTCAGCAGAGTCTAATTTATGGAACCGATGTTAATCTAATCCAATGTGGAAGCAACATTTATGTTAAAAACATATTTTGGTCTAGTAAAAGCAGAAGCATACAGGTCAAGTAAAATTTCCCTCCCTTCATTTTCTTCATATCTGATGACTCCTAAGGTGCTTTATCTTGTGTGCATAAAATGAAGTGCTAAATTCTTACTTGCAGCTTCAGTGCTGCAGGCAGTGCTGAACTACACAGAAGTGCTTGGGGGGACAGTCTTTGTCCCCAGAGGTGGGACAGATTTGTTGGCAGACGGTTCCCTCCATGGGTTCTCATTCCCAAACCGTAGACTTTGCTTCCCCTCCCTGAGCAAGGATCAGGGAGGCTGCTTGCTAGTGAATCAGTTGAGAGATTTGGCATGGGATATACGGGTTAGTGTTTAATTGCTACAGGATTTAAAGAAATAAGTCAGATTCTACAGAATATAGTGAAATCTGTGCAAGACCCAGAGTTTGGGTTTATGTGAAGGAAATGGTGATTTCTTGGGGATATTTTAAGATTGTGGCATTTATGTTTATAAACACAATCAATGACTGGCTCTCAAGAATGGTCTTGAGAAATCTATGTGCAGTGTAGAGGATAGTGGTAGGCTAGATGATATCAGAGAGCATCATTAGCTCCCTGTTGAAATATTGTTGCTTTCTTGTGTGTTTCTTTCTGATGATTGTTTTCCTATTTTCTTATTTAAAAAGGATATAGGTGCATATCCCTTGCACGAAGCTGCTTTGCAGAAGGGGTGGCAGATTGTTGTTTTACTCCTTGCAATGAACATGAACAAACTAACTTATTCTGTTGTGCTTTAGAGCAGCTTTTCAAGGCCTCCCTGACACTGGAATGAGGAGCTGTGTCAATTATTTTTATCTACCGTTGCTAACAGGAAGATCTCTGGTTAATTTTGTGGTTTTAAGAAGACTTACTGTTTTGTTTCCTTTATCTTTTTAGTCAGGACAATCCTCCACTGTGATTGAAAACATACATACCATTATTGCTGCAGCTGCTGTGAAGTTCAGCTCTGATCAGCTGAATCATTTATTTGTTCTTATCCAAAAGGTAAAATTTAACATAGATTTTTCTATGTTGGCATGACAATTGATGAGAAATACTCGTACATCCGTACCCTTTAGCTATAAAATAGCACTATGCTATTTTGGGGGGTCTTGCGTTTTTTTATTTTGTTTTAACCCAAATGGCTGGTCTGGTGTTGTGCTGCTAATTGACTTAAAGTATATATATTCAGTGCTAAGGCACTTAAAGTGAGATTTTTATGATTATATCTAGCCTTTTGTAGCGCATATTTGACTAACAGTTGAACAAATGAATATTGTAACCTCCAGTTACAAAAATGAGAAAATATGTATGATAGAAACATTGTTTTGTTTGTACAGCAGTAAAAGAATTATAAATTATATTTTCTTGTACACTTGAGTCTGAAGAGTGACAGTTCTTGCTGTTGTAATAGCAAATGTTATTTCTTTGCTGTACAGAGCTGGGAGACAGAGAGTGACAGAGTGCGCCAGAAGCTGCTGAGCCTGATAGGACGCATTGGTCGAGAAGCTCGGGTAGAGACAACCACTGGAAAGGTATGTGAACGTGAAACAAGATCACCTTTTTTTCCTAGATAAAACATAGGGTTTCGTGTCTTGGCATTTACTAGGTGCTGACTGAGCTTGTTTTCTTCCTCCAGGTTCTGGAGGTGCTTTGGGACCTGGCTCATCTTCCAACCTTACCTTGTAGCCTGATTCAGCAGGCCTTAGAGGAACATCTGACAATCCTCAGTGATGCCTATGCAGTGAAAGAGGCAATCAAAAGGAGCTACATCATCAAATGCATAGAGGATATTAAGAGGGTTGGTTGGTTGGTTTATCTTTCTCAAAGTCAAAAATTATCTAGTCTTGATGTTGCCCTTTTTTTTTCCTCCAAGATGCACAAATTGCACGTCCCATCTGTAAGTTCTTACCTTGGGGAGTCCACGAGAGGGGTAGGCTGTGTGTGAGCCAGTTTGTTGACCATGAGACTCTTAGTAAGTCTCTTGCCTTTGTTTTAAACAAATTTTCAGCCCAAGGAATGATCAGTTTATTGGAAACTACCAGAATGGACCCAAGGTTAGAATTTGCAAATGGAAACACTGTAAAGGTATGTCAGTGTTTTAACTGTCCCTTTCATGAGAGCCTAGATTGTTTTTCTTAGAGTAAAGCATGTGTTCTGGCATGGCCATTAAGTGAGTCTCAGAATGCAAATTGTTATTGAAATCGTAGTAATTTTGTATTTTCTTAAAATACTTGTACTCGTTCATCTAACAAGAACTTCTTTTTGCAGCTGCCTGGGCTAAGATGTTTCCTGGCAGCAGTAGGCATGCATGGCCTAAAAGGCTGCCCAAACTCTGTGCTGCACTGTTCACATAGCAGACTTTTTTCCTAGAGGTCTTCAGGAATGCTTCTGTCTTCTTTTCGTAGTCTTAAACAAGCCTGTAAAGGAAAAGGCTTGTACTTCATTTATTTATTTTATTGTAAATGAGGCTTTGTCTGTCCTGCGACATCTGGAAAGGACTTTAGTTGTTTAGAGGTCACTGTACATTGCCTTCTTGATAATGAGGACTGTTTTATTTTGTATGTTTAGAGCTACAGGTTTCAAGCTTTGGATTCTCAATATCTTTAGAATTTGCTGTTTCTTCCTTCTGTTCTTTTCAGCTTTCCTGTCCTTGCGTTCAGTTTAGTAACATTCTGGCAGGGGCCTTAACAGCAGGGAACGCTAAAGGAAAGTTGTAACTAACTGCAGGCTGGAAGGGACTGTGGTAAACATAAAACAGATTTTTAAAAATGTATCACTTATTTGTTTGCATTAGGGGAAATAAAAGTATAGTCTGGGAGGGAATGCTACATTAAGGCATCACTTAAATACCCCTCAAATGAGGGAGTTGTCAGTATGCCTGAAGTTACTTTAGTTCTTGCTGAGTGAGTAGGTGGCACTGATTGCCATCAATATTTAAAGCAAACATCACTTCTGTGGGGGGAGAAAAATAAATAATTAAAAAAAACCCTCAGTTCTGGTTTGTGTGGTCAAACTTTACAGAAAATGAAGCCTTCCAGAAAAGTGATGAGCATTTCTTACAATGAGGTAGGCGGGTGCTCTGTAATTTGCAGGACCTTTTCAATGTGCGGCTTAAATATCCTTTGCTTCCTATCACAGGGCTCCTTGCAGCCCCAATCACAAATTCCTTCTCTTTTAATTCTCTGTAGTACTCCAGGTTCTTCCTTTCATCATTTCTGCTCTAGCAATAAGTGCCCCCCTTTGACCATATTTGCCCTTTCATACCCTGACAGATGCCCTTTGAACTTCCACTGGGTCTGCGTAATTGAGTAAGGTGGTGGTTATCATCTTGCTGCTGTAACCAAGTTTTTACTTTCTTTCCCCCCCTCCCTCCCCCACTTAATTTGCATGCCTTCTAGCAAGGAGGTGGCACTTTGGGCTAATAATAAGGATAGCAGTATCCTGTATGTGTGTCGAAGGGAAGGAGGGCACCCTCGGAGCACTTGGAAAGGGACCAGGAACAAGTAACTGAAGCCTTCCGAAGTGATGATTGGTGTTTTGAAATGGGGCATTAAGAGAAATCATTTAGGCATCTAGGAGTCTAACAGGTTTTTAATCCATTGTTGAGCATGTACATAGGTATAATTGTTCTTACTTTTCTTACTACTAGTCGTCCCAGCACAATAATCCTCAGTTTGTGTGGGTGGTGCCAGCTCTGCGTCAGCTCCATGAAATCACACGATCGTTTATTAAGCAGACTTACCAAAAGCAAGACAAGGTAAGAACATGTGTTGAGTTGTTCTTGAAAGCCTAATGCCTCTAAGGCTTCTGCTTCTCGAGAATGTAGAAGTTTGTGTCTGTAGAAGCAAAAGGAAAAGGAAGTGTAGGAATCACAGCGTAGTGATAGAGCATAAACAAAATCCTAGAGTAGAAGTGTATGTGTGCTGTCTGTTTACGTGTGTATAATCTCTGCTTGATGTGTTTGGATTGGCTTTTTTAATTTTTAGTTTATTGTAGAATTATTAGCCAAGCAAGTCTTGGTTAAGAAATTATGATAGCTAATGTTTAGACCAGCTGGTTCATAAATGAACTTGAAGTTGTTATTTGGCAGCAATGCTTGGAAAATGCACTAAAATAGCTGCAAGCTGTGTGTGTTATACTGTAGCTAAGTGGAGGTATGGGACTTGGTTTTGCAATCTGCAGTATGCATGCTTCAGCAGTGCTGAAAACAGCAATATCAAAGGACACGGGGGCATTGGAAGGTTACAGCTTGATCTGGTGAGGAGGGAGCATTCCCCCTTCTCATAAAAGAGACTTATGTAGAAGAGCAGAATTCTGTGTGCGTGTGTGCACCTGGTTCTGTATTTTCCTATAACCTCTTTTTTTCTTTTTCTTTTTTGACAAGAGCATTATTCAAGACTTAAAGAAAAATTTTGAGATAGTGAAATTGGTGACAGGAAGCCTAATATCATGCCATCGTTTGGCTGCATCTGTGGCTGGTCCAGGAGGACTTGTTGGAGCGACATTAGTGGATGGCCGATACACTTACCGGGAGGTATTGAATCCTGAATATTTTCCTGCTTTTGTTTTTTGAAAGCATGGTGTTGTTTTATCACTGAGCAAGTTGCAAAAGATTGTGTTGATCCATTTTTGGAATTCATTGGCAGGTATGTTCCCTCAGCTCAACAATCAGGTTTTATTTATGGCTCTGATATTTATCTGTTAAGTCTTACTATAGCCTTGTTACAATTTTATGGAGTAGTGATGGCCAAACAGTCCCACAAGTTTCCTAGCAGGATCTTTAATTGTTTGAAAGCTACATCCCTCTGCCCCAGGACCTCCCATCTCCAGCTGTGTATATTTTAGCTTCTCCATGAGCCTGAGTTTGATTGCACTGTATAGATTATATCTTTGAATTTGATACCAGGACCTCCCATCTCCAGCTGTGTATGTTTTAGCTTCTCCACGAGCCTGACTGCTTTGTATAGATTATGTCTTTGAATTTGATACTGACTCTTAAAGACCTGAAACAGATTTGCTAGTTAGGAGGTGGAAGATGCTTTCACAGATAGCTTGTAATAATTTGTTATAGAGTTTTGGATTTTGTTACACAAGTGGTGTCTTTAGGAACTACTTACTGTCAAATAATATCAGTGAAGTAACAGAAAATCCAAGGTGAATTGAGTATGTCCCTTTAAAAAGATAACCAAAAAAAGTCATGCTGAAAACATATAAAATAGAAATAAAGCTCTCTGTAAAATCATTTTTTGATTCTCCAAGTTTTGCAAAGTGTGTTGTTACTGTACAATAAAAAGTTTCCCAAAACTGGAGGAAAAATCAAACTGTACTTTGAATATTGAAAATTGTTGTTTTAGAAAGAAAAGCCTTGAACTTAAGGGTTTTTTCCTTCTTTTTCAGTATTTGGAAGCACATCTAAAATTTTTGGCATTTTTTCTGCAAGAAGCCACCCTTTATTTGGGCTGGAATCGTGCCAGGGAGATCTGGGAATGCCTTGTAACTGGCCAGGATGTTTGTGAGTTAGATCGAGAGGTAAGAAAAACTTAAATACCTAGTCTTGTGTTTGGGGAGTGGAACTTAATGGATCCTTAATAGCTTGTGTACTTGCTGAAGAAACATGATAAAGCATATTGTTCATGTAAAAACATGAGCAACAAAGTAATGATGGTTTATGTGCTTTGTGTAAATCAGTGGAACTGCTGTTACATGTTTGCTTATGGTTAGGATTCTCTTTTGACCGTAAACTTGACTGGAAGAGGAATGTTGGCCAGGAGATGAGTTGCTTGTTTATTGATGCTCATTAGAGGACCAACACCTGAAAGTCTGCACAGTTGCATGAGAAATGTGCAGTGTTATTTGGGTAAAAGATTACTATCAAGATACCCTAATATTACAATGCAGCATATATAATGTGTATGATTACTGTATGAGTCTCTGAACCTCCTGCTGCGGATAAAAATCCTTGTGTCTGTCTCACTATTCTTGCTATAGTACCTGACATAGTTTTATGCAGCGTTGTCAAATATTTGCAATGACCTTGGGTTAAAGACTTCTGCTTTTCATTCACAGATGTGCTTTGAGTGGTTTACAAAAGGACAGCATGATCTAGAGAGTGATGTGCAACAGCAGCTGTTCAAGGAGAAAATTCTTAAACTGGAGTCATATGAAATTACTATGAATGGTAGGAAAATGATTTTGGTAAACAGATTTTTGATTGAATTATCAGGAACTTGCTTTTTAAGCCTTCAAATTAAAAGTCCAAACAGTTCTGGAGATCAATATCATTATAAAGGGGTCTTTTTCTGTCATTCTGAATTTTCAGTAGTTCTAAAGGGAAAAGGCAATCTTTGTATTTTTAAAAAGCATAGAAATTAAGGTTAAATTTTAAAAAACTGCACCTTTTTATTTACAGGTTTTAGTTTATTTAAAACTTTCTTTGAAAATGTGAACCTGTGTGACCATCGACTAAAGAGGCAAGGAACTCAGCTGGTGAGTGTTCTGCAAATTCATTTTTGTATACTACCCATAGCATATTGGGCAGGGGAGAAGACAAGGGTTCTTTAGCAGCTGTTTGATTTTGTCATGTTTGTATTGATAGACAGATGGTCCTTGTAGCATTTACATTGTTAAATTCTAAAGTTAAAGTTCCTAAGTTGTGGGAGAAAATTTGCCACCGGTTGCTGGAAGTTACTATGTAGCTTCTAAAAATTCTCAGATGGAATGAGTGAGCTCATTTTTTATTAAGGAAAATATTCTATACCATTTTTAATTCTTCTTCTCTCCGAAAGATTAATGTCTTATTTCAGTCATTTCTAGCTCTGTGATCCTTGACTATTTTTCTCAAATTGAGAGTTTTATGTTAAGTACTTTTCCAGACTATTCCAAAAATAGTTTTCCAAAGTCATTAACTTACAGAGAGTTCATTTACTTCAAATGCGTACTTCTTTCCAAGTATCATAGCAGATTTTGTGGGAGATTATTTTTGATTGGTTACCACTTGGACTTTCCAGAAGTAATTCCATCCCTGATTTAAATTTCTTCATGTTCTCGAAGTTTGTAATTCTTCAGTTCAATTTGAGTGTTCTTCAGAACTTGTAAACAAACATTTTGTTTCCAATGTAAATAGGTAACCTTGCACTTATTGATTTCAGTTTTCACCACGTCAAAACTTAACAGCATGTTGGAAAAGACAGTTTTTAAGATCAGGTCCAGTGGTGCTTTTCTAGCAGATGGGACACAATTTGTCTCCATGTTTGAATACACTTTTGCATGTAAGAAATCCAGTTGCATTTTATTATTGTTCCTTCTTTCATAGAGTGTAGAAAAACTGGAATTAATAGGAATGGATTTCATTTGGAAGATAGCAATGGAGTCACCTGATGAAGAAATTGCCAATGAAGCTATACAATTGATAATAAATTACAGCTATATTAATCTAACTCCTAGACTGAAAAAGGTAAGCATTTATTAGAATGTGAGGGTGCTTTAACAGCTGGAGATTCACTCCCTGATAAACTGATAGAGCCCAGACTATAATGCTTTTTAACAGTGACTCCAATGACATTTTTTTAAAGTTCTGATTATTTTTTTCCTTCATATCTTCAGGATTCAGTATCACTGCACAAGAAATTCATTGCAGATTGTTACACGCGATTAGAGGTAAAGGACAAATTTTAATTGTTCTTATGTCTTCATCCTTTTCCGGCTTTGTATTGTAGCTTTAGGGTAATTAATTGTGATAATTCTATTTAAAGAAAATTTTATTTCCACAAGTACTCCTTGTTCTCTTAGCTCTCCAGAACATAATAATCATCAGTATAAACCAGCACTTATACTCTTCTTTATATTCTAGGCAGCCAGTTCAGCACTTGGCGGTCCAACATTAACGCACGCTGTTACAAGAGCTACAAAAATGCTTACAGCAACTGCTATGCCTACAGTAGCAACATCAGTTCAGTCTCCTTACAGGCAAGTTTGTCTTTAAAAGAATAAATATGGCAGTGAATGTTTACTACAAGCTACTTAACTAATGATTTTGAATGATAATTAAAACTGTTGTGAGACTGTGTTAGCTGAAAGCTTTGTGTTCTATGATCCCTTCTCAGTATTGGTGTATGTTCTAGAAACCTCTCATTTTAAATATTCCAATAAAATGTAATTTGAGTTCCAAAAAAATTCTGACAAAACCAGCATGGCAAATGAGACAAAGCCAGAATGCTGAAGTCATCTATGTTTTAGGGGATAGCTTAGGCAAGATGTGGGAGGCAATAGGATTTTTTTTAATAAGGGAGAAAAGGAGCACTTTCCATCCTTCTGCTGTACTTATGTGTACTTAAGTGTGGGTGGCTTAAATACGAGCAGAGTTGGGTCGTGTAGAAATGTGAAGGTTCTTCTGAAGCTCAGTATGACTTAAGAAAACTTCTTAATCTGTTTTGTTAGTTAAGTTCAGTATAACCTCAAGACCCTTAAGGACCAGCTGTGTATTTGAAAACAGTTAATTCATGATAGTTACCTGTTGTCACAGAGATTAATTTTCAATGACAAGTTACTCTTGTTTTGGGTGCTTATCCCTAGGTCAACTAAACTTGTAATAATTGAGAGACTATTGCTGTTGGCAGAGCGTTACGTGATAACTATAGAGGTAAGATATGTCATTTCTTAGTAGATGAGACTAAGAACATAATTTCTAGTAATATTAAAACAGTAAAAGCTACTTAAGCCTGTGCAGCTGTAGCAGGTTTATTACATGCTATCATAAAACTGGTTTTGTTTTCAAGCACTGTATTCATCATTGTCCTTCTCTTCCCGTAGGACCTTTATTCTGTTCCTCGAACTATTCTACCTCATGGTGCCTCTTTCCATGGACATCTTTTAACACTTAATGTTACATATGAGTCTACCAAAGATACCTTCACCATAGAGGTATGTGTACACAGGTTGTGTCATACACTTATAACCCTCTGTAGAGGAGCAGGAAAACCTTAATAGAAGATTTCCCTCTTCTAGGATTTACTGCTCAGATTGACTAAACAAGTGTTATTTAACTTTACAGGCTCATAGCAATGAAACCGTAGGGAGCGTCAGGTGGAAGATAGCAAAGATGTTGAATTCTCCTGTTGATAATATACAGATATTTGCCAAAGACAGCCAAGATTTCCCTCTTCTAGGATTTACTGCTCAGATTGACTAAACAAGTGTTATTTAACTTTACAGGCTCATAGCAATGAAACCGTAGGGAGCGTCAGGTGGAAGATAGCAAAGATGTTGAATTCTCCTGTTGATAATATACAGATATTTGCCAACGACAGCCTGGTACGTTTACTACAAAGTGCTCTCATTCTTTGAGTTTTGACTGTCTTCTCCAGAGTTAAGTGACCTTTTTTTCTTTCTTTCTTTCTCTTTTTTTTTTCTTTTTTCCTTATAGCTAACTGTAAATAAAGATCAGAAACTGCTCCACCAGTTGGGATTCTCTGATGAACAAGTGCTTACAGTAAAAACATCAGGAAGCGGGACTCCATCAGGAAGCTCTGCAGATTCCTCAACAAGTTCCAGCAACAGCAGCAGCGTGTTTAATTCATCCTATGCAATGGAACAGGTGCAAAATAATAGCCTGAAACCTACCCTTGTGTTTTTGTTTGTTTGTTTGCATGTTTTTGAAAAGAAGCCACAGCTGTGGTCAGAAAGGTAGAGCAAGCCGAGTCAGAAGCCGTTCACATCAGCTTGAGTAACTAATTGTGAGCAGCCCTGGTTTGCTTTCAAACTGTGATGGAAGCAAAGCATTTTAAAATACTATTGCCTTAAGCACATAGATTTTATTTAAAAACTGCATATAGTTGTCTAGGGTTACCTTCTTAGTACTTATTAATGTCTACAGCATCTTCCATTAAATCTTGAAACAAACAGGATTCATTTGATTTAATTTTGAGATCTTATATTTGGAGGGGAGGTGGGGAAGTTCCTCTAACAAACCTGAAGGGCGAGAATTCAAGAAGTATCAGCTGGCATGTTCTAACCACTCCTGGTCTGCTTTGTGCATGAACTCTAAATAAATGGCTTCATAACTATGTCATTAAGAGAAAATGCATCAATGGTAAAATTCAGATGTTGCCTCAGTCTAGAAGGTAAATGAGATATCAGTGGGTGCCCCTGCTTGAGCAGGGGGGTTGGAATAGATGGTTTCTACAGGTCTCTTCCAACCCTAACCATTCTGTGATTCTGTGGGCCACGTTAGTATCCAGGTCAATTGCTTCAGTTAAGGCTCCTGTTAAATAACTTGAGGGAGAAAAAAA